TTCCTTTATATTATGAGCATACTTTGAGTTTTGTAGGAGAGATAGTTTTAACTATTTATTACTTAGAAGCGTCCAATTTCTGAATTCATTATATTAATACAAACATTCAATTCATTGTGTGGTTAATAAGAATAAAAATTTGTATTATTTTATTGCATTTTTTTCTATTTTTTAGTACCAGGATCTGAATCAATACCTTGTGCTTGCCAGGCAGGAGTTCGAGAAAGTGCTGCATCTCTGCCCAACAATTCTATAATCTAAAACTATTTTAAAAGTCCACGCGATAAAATTAATGATAGATCATTTAGTTATTTATTTATTGTTTGGTACAATGTCCTGCTATGTAGCTCAGACTGCTAGTAATCCTCCTATCTCAGCTTCCTCACCATTGGGATTAGAGGCAGGAGCCACCACCTCTAATTTTGGTGGTCTGCATGGCAAGCCTGAGGTTCAGGGGCCAGCATGACTTTTTTTTCGACTTGTGCTAAATTTGTTTGTTCTGCAACTATCCCATAATGGTAGAGTCAGCACAGATATTCCCATGTTTCTGTCTGTGTAATTTTGAACTGAAGTTTAATTACAGACAAAGAAAGAAAGAGCTGTGCTGGATGTGAGCTCTAAGGGCTGCCATCATTGTCTTTTCTTGGAGAGCTGTGAAATGCTAGCGAACTCCTCTGAGGAGATCATGAGACAGCGATGCCTCAATTCACAAATTTAGCTTCTTCTGCAAAGTTGGGCATGGTCATGTTCATGACCAGATGCCATGTTAAAGATAAATAATAAATAAGTAAATAAAAGCAACTGCCAATTGCGAAATGCTTTTGATTGTTTTCATTTTTAATGGTTGTTCTCAAATAAAGCATTGGTGATCCTTAGCAACCCTGTATTTTAAAGGTAAATGCAAATGTTTGCTGTCAGTTGGCTGATTACTCACTACAGTTATGGACAATTGGACTATATTGGGTTATTTTGCTGAACTCAAGTATCTATTATCTTTGGACTGGCATCAAGTGTGAAAATATCCATTAAATACTTCTCCAACTACAGCATCTGTAACTACAAAGGAACACTCATGTG